CGATGGCGAGTGGCATCAGGTGTGCGGTGATGGATGGAGTCTCTTGGAGGCGATGGTTGTCTGCAGGCAATTAGGTCTGGGATACGCCGCTCACGCCGTCCAGACAACTGTATTTGGCGGCCGATCGCCACATAATTTATCGCTCGTATTGAGTGGTGTGCGCTGTAAGGGCTACGAACAGAGTCTGTCCGATTGCGATATGAACGCCCTGGGCGATGGCCACCACCACTGCCCCACCAGTCAAGACATTGCCGGTGTTATCTGTACGTCTGGTAAGGTTTCTATGTCTATTGGTATTACAGGAGATGTTATGTTTTACACGTCGCTGTTTGGCTGCTATTGTATAATAGCTAATGAATTAGTCATAAGAAATGCTTATTTTAATTTATAACTCACTCGTGTGTGCGATCCCTCGAGTATAGGTGTATAGATAGGTACTACTGTTTTGGGCAATTTTTATGGATTAAAGGCCAGGCTGTCAAATGTTCGGGTGGTCTAGTGGTAGGGCCCCTGACTTTGCAATTTGATTGTTAGCTTTATTTGCATTTAAAAAAGCGTTTTTTGAAAGTGCCTTCGTTTTAATTAAAAGTATGAGAGGGAAGGGATGTAATTAAGTTGATGTTTTTATTTAACAAACGATTGGAAAATAAATTAAAACATTTTAAAAGTAGTGTTGTCTGTCAACCAAATTATATTTAGCATATTTTATGTGTAAATTTTAATTTACAATTAAACTTTTTATGCTACAATAATTTTAGACAATATAACATAAAATTTTATGTAACTTTGCATTTATAAATTTTTAACTAACTTATATTATACTTGATACAATTTGAACCCGTTATTTATTACATAATACACAATGCAATAATTACTAATTAGATAAGGATTATGAAATGCAAAACAATACTATTGTTTTGAATTAAATAGTAAAATAGTGCCGATAATAATTACAAATTATGAACAAGACAATTCAAATTGTTTAGTATTTAAAGCCGATATTATTACTAATATATGAAATGCACAGAACTTCCAGATTTGGTTCCCGACGAAAAAGAGATCGAGTCGTCCGCCTATTTGGAGGACCGGATGCTTATGCTATTGCAATGCGCTATGGAGGAAAACTGTCTGGCCAGTAGCGCCTACACCATCAATAGACAACAATACGGTATTTCCATACATGTTGTATATTTCTAATTAATTTTTATCGTCAAATAATTGTCACTTAATTTAACGCAAAGGCTGGCAGTTTGAGACGCGACGACTGCTCCGATTCACTGCCAGAATCGCCAACATAGGAACGGCTGATTTTCGGCCATTCCTACCCAAACACATCTGGGACTGGCACGCCTGCCACCGACACTACCACAGTATGGAGGTGTTCGCCCACTTCGACATACTGGACAGTCGTGGCAAACGCGTGGCTGAGGGACATAAGGCTAGCTTTTGCC